CAGGTGAACTCACCTGGTATTTGCCGGCAATTGAGCATTGGTAATGGGTTTATCCAGAGAATTTCCTGGCTTCCCTTCCTCTTGTGTCGTAGTGTCCCACCTGGGTCGCCAAATCTGTTCAAGGAAATGACATGTCAGACGTGGGTACCGCTGGGTTTGCTTCATTAATAGCTCAGGGTTGGGCCAGCACCTCAGTGCAGGGCAAAAGGCCCAAGCTCTCGCACAGTGCATACACCACTCAACCAATACCCATTACGTAAGGTCCAAAGTCTTTGTGTATTTCCACTCAGCCTGTCAGTCCTCAAAGTTCATCGTTTAGCAAAGACCATCACAGTCCCCCGTCTCAGCTGCATTCTTCTTTTCTGGTTCCAGTTCTTGTTTCAGGGTCTTCTTTGGGTCGCTGTCTCTGTCATCACTCTTCTGCCATTTCTGTCTTGCACAATTCTGAGACAGACTTTGAGATGTATTGTTAAGGGTTTAGCTAAAGCAAGCAGTTTACACCCATTAACTTCCTTCTGTCTAGCAAAGCACCTGTGCTTAATTAATTCATCACACTCTGCTAAATCTGTCTCTACATGATGAGCCTGACTGGGTTTTAACCAGCCTTGTCTGGGTCTGTACCAGGAGCAGGTTAAGCTGGGCCTGGTGAGCAGTATTTCTGTACTTCCCACGAGACTCCAAACCCCATACCTAAACCTACACTAGAGGCGATGAGAAATTCCTTTACAGGTACGTGCAACGAGTAAGGCCAACCTCACTGCATACGCTACCTTCCCTGCCTGCCTGGTCACGGTGAGGATTACAGGACGAGATGCCATCCATTAGAGCGCAGCCAAGGAGCAACAAGCAGGCATCTGTCTGAAGGGCCGGCTCCTCTGGTTCTGCCCCGCTCGCCCTGCCAGGCCCAGCAGGACCGCAGGACCTGTGAGTGTCTAAGCTCACTCTGTCTTTGCATAAAAACCAAACTCCCCGCTGGAGTCAGAGGGCAGGATGTCTGCGCTCTCTCTGCCCCTGCTGTTTACAGAGGATTATTTAGCCTTTCTGTGCTTGGTTTTCTTAACACCACAAAAAGAACTACTTGTAGCTATGGTTTCTTTTCTCGAACAACAAACACAAGCTGTTGTGGCAAGCCCTATATACACAGAACCAATCCCCGAGGAACAGCCAGCTCCCAAACATGCCAGGTTTCCCACTTCAGCCAAGGCGGATGGCATTAACCCACACGTGTGAACAGAGACACCTCGTCAGAACAAGGGAGCTCGCCAGTGACCCAAGACCCACTCCGCGCCGACCGACAGAGAGCAGTTGGTACCAGAGATCTGCTGGAAAGCAACGCATCCATGCACACCAATGCGTTTTGACTTCAATTTCTCCTGGAGTTAACCAACTCTCTCCCCCTTTTTCTAACTCTCAGACCACGACTGTGCATTACTGAACGGCTACAAGTGAAAAAACAACACCCCAGACCTCACTCCTCCTGCTCTTCCTCTGACACTGGTGCAAGCCCACAGCAGCACGATGACCCTTTGATTTACACTGGCGTGTGTGAGACCAGAACCAAAGGCCTTTGTAGCCTTTGTAGCACAGAGATTTCGCAGCGAAAGCCAAGGAAGAAGCGCTTGCTTTCATGGCAGGGTGCGAGAAGCTCGCCTTTCAAGACAAAGGCATTACTGGAAGCGAGGTTTTCCTGTCAAGTGACTCCTGAGAACAAGCAGGAAATGCAGTCTTGAGATTGCACAACCTGCTTGAGAGGATGCAAGTGTCAACAGGGCTTCCTTCCTAGCCCGTACAAACTAGATCTAAGGTTTTACAGACATTGCTACACCAAAACCAAACAAAATGCAAAGGTAACGCAGTGAAGAAAGCCTTAAAACTCTCTTGATCGGAACTCCCCTGCTTTGAAGAATCAGAGAGGCCAGGGACTCCGGGCTGCTTCCGACTAGCACAGCTGGAGTTTGGAGAACACCGCACCTGCAGCCTATGATACACCACAGAGAGCCCAGCTGCCTTCCTTACGCTAAGCACAAGGCTTACAGAGCTGAAGCAACTCTTTGAGCTGGCAAAGCTGAAAGGAAAACAGGCAACAGACATGAAGGGGCAGACACGTGTTTGCTTCCATGAGCCATTCTGACAGGAACTGACCTACAGAGCAGGCGTCTAATGCTGTTCCGTGCTAGCCCAAAGCTGGTGACAGGGAGGAGCTTGCAGGCAGGCGGGTGATGGCCTGAAGCTGTAACTCTGCCCGTCCTCCTGCTGCCTGGCAGGGCCTCTGGCAATCCTTTCTGTGGACAGGAAAGGAATCACTAAATGACAGCTATCCCAAAGGCCAACCAAACTTGTTCCCAAGCCTGCTTGCACAGTCAATTCAGAGGATGTTAGCAAACGTGACTAGGGTAAGAGACTGCTGCCTGAGGCAGGCAAGCACCCAGCAGATGCGCAGCAACAGCGCCAATTCAGCGTTTCCTGATGGCACAGGACAGCCCCAAGTGTATCTTATCAGGACGCAAGTCACGTTACTGTCACCTGCAGGACCAGTGCCGATGAGAAACGCCAGGTCCTGCTCCCCTGGGCTGCCCAGCCATGCACTCCCTGGTCTCCACACTGCCTGGAGCTGGGGCTCCTGGGGCAGGCTCCAACGTGTCCCACCACCTTCCTCAGCCCTCTGGCTTAGGCAGTGACTCTCGTCCCACCATACCTGAGTGAAGTGACCCAAGGAATTGCCAAGGCTGTACTAAAAGCTGAGCAACAGCCATGTTCTTCACCAAGTTTCAAGATAAGCTTTATTTTGAAGGAGAACAAAAAACAACCAGGCCCAAAATACCGTGCTTGCATTCAGTCGGTCTCCTACGTAAGGTTAAATACTCGTGGGGCAGACATCTTCATAACCAAGTGTCTCCCATGGGCTGACATCACCCTAAAGCATCAGGCGGTGCAGTCGCTGCACAGCTATAAATGCAAATACTGCAGTCAACAGAGCGACCTTTCCAGCCAAAACCCTCTTGTGCTGCCATGTGTTTGGCCCGGTAACATTTCTCACTCACTTCAGATGAGCAGCACAGCGTCCTTCTTGAGATGCTTCAGAACCTGACATCTTCCAAGGGAGTGGAGTTGTACAAGCAATTCCCCTGTCTTTTCATTTGGATTGGCAAATTCACAGGCTGCGTTAAGCTCCCGAGCGTTCACTCAAGCTCTGCGTATTCATCGTCTCTGTTCTACTCAGTGACGCAGCCACAGGACACAAAAAGAACTCCTGTGGATCCACCAGCATTGGTTCCATCTGTGAAGAGGCTCCTGAGCACAGGTGATCCTGCCGCGTTCTCCGGTAGGAGGGACACACATCTCTACAAAGGTGTTTTAACGAAGGCAGTCTCTGCTTTCCCCGAGTATGTTTTCCCTGGTAAGTACTTGCCAGTCTCAGGGAATGCTTTTAGCTTCTCTGTCTTCTGGTGACTGGTTTTCACAAATCTTAGCAAGTTGACAATAGCAGCTGGCGTAATTCCAGGGATGCGGCTGAGTGCACCAATCTGCGTGTAGAAACAGGACCAAGTCAACAAGGAACAAACCTACACGCTGGAGCTAGTGAGAAATGGGATCAGAACCTGTGGGGGGTATTCCTCTCCCTGATTCTCCTCACACCCTCCCTGTGTCCCTCGGGAAGGCACAGAGGAGATTTCATGGCTGTTCAACCCTGCTGTGGCCCAGTACCTTACCGTCTGGGGACGGGTGGAATCCAGTTTCTCCCGCACCTCTGCTGACAGCGATGCGTCGATGGCAAAGTAATCCAGGTCCTCTGGCAGCCGGAGGGCTTCATCACGACGCACTTCTTCCATTTCCTGCTGCTGATTGAGGACACACCACTCGTAAGCAGCTGCGATCAGGGAAACAGGAAGACCAGATACAGAAGTTCATGTGAAACAAGTCACTTGCAGGATTTCTTGAAAGCAGAATAAGCAATTCCACTGAGACGGTCTAAAGCTCCTAAGGAAGTTTCTAGTCTCACAGATTAAAGAGCAGACTTCACATCGCTGCTTTGGAAAAAGTCCTCCTCTTTCATTTGTTACAGGAATTAAGATACACAGGTTGGCTTTTCCTCTCCTCCCAGGAAAGGATGGTCTATCTGACATCAGTAAGGAGGAAAAACCCAGGAGTGAAAATGAGTCTCACCTCACGAAGTGGAACACAGGTGCCTGCACAGGGCTGTGGCCTATGGCAAAAGGTGCATGCTCCGATAACAGCGTGTCATTTCACTAAGCAGCAACACGAAACACGCTGGGACGAATGGGTTGGCTCTCCCCTTACTGACCAAAACCAACAGATCCCATCAAGTCTTGTACTCTACCTTCTATTTTCAATCTCTCTGCCAGTTCTCTCCATTGAGTAAGCTTTCCCAGGGGATCTGGGATAGCCCTTGCCAGAATTCCCATGTTGACCTCTGGATATTGAAGGATGTCAAATGCACTGTGGAGAACAAGAGTTAAGTTTTTATGGTTTGAATGAGTCACTTGTGCAAAGCAGATTTACAGCTGTTCCCAGCTGAAACTTGTAAAGATCTCAGCATCAGCCAGAACAACCGCAGAGCCAAGCTCACCTCCCTACTCTCAGTACACAGAAGAGCAGTTCAGCTCTTGAAGAGGGGGTCTTTATGAAGTGAGCAGCCATATAGAAGGGACAAAGAAAGGGCACCAAGGGGAACCTTCACACTGGCTGAGTCAGCCAGGTCTCACTGATTTAAAACAACAGAAAAGATAGGGTGAGATCAAGGACGGGCAAGGGAAGCAAAGGGTATGTCTCTGTGTACAAGAAAACTAGCCTGAATCAATCGCTGTTTTATCAAGCTTTCAGCAAAGCAGCATCCAACTGCAAAACTGTCACCACCTGGTGACACTCCAATAAGGACCACAACAACTGACTGGGCCAGGGGAGCAACCCCCTTACTTTGGGAGCCTATGTCAGCACCAGGAAACGTGGCGCAGTAAAAACACTGATGTCACACTTATTCTACGGGCGGACATCAGATGTCTGTCCCCTGAAGGTGATAAAGCTGGACTTTTGGAGCACTGAAAGCTTCAGGAAGGAAGGACTGACAAACACTGTGAAACCACTAGCCCCATGTGATACAGCAAGCATAGGTCAGGCCAGAACGCTTCAGGTGTAACCTTTACCTGGCAGGTGACCTCCGACTGCTACTGATGGGAACTTCTGATATTAACTGCAACCACTTGGATATGCTGAACTGAAGGGATTTCAGTGTTGCAATTCCATCCTCTAAAGCTGCCCTCATCTTAACCGCTTGCTCGTACCGTTGCCGTGACACACACCCAGCTTCCTCAAAACCTGCAGAGATGGACGGCGTGTGAAACAAAAGGTCCACAACCAGGCAGGGCTGGCTGCTCACTGCAAGAGCCGCCGTAAGAAAATACCTCTGTGGGTGAGCCTGGCATCGGCATTGTCAGGCCGGATGGACATGCGGAACTCCACGCGGCTGGTGAACATCCGGTACGGCTCGCTGGTGCCCAGCGTGGTCAGGTCATCGATCAGGACACCGACGTAGCCCTCAGTGCGACTGACGATGAAAGGGGGCTTGCCCCGAACCCGCAGGCAAGCATTGATCCCAGCGATCACGCCCTAGGCAAAGAGAAAACAAACCAAGAAACATCGATCAGTCTCTCAGGGTTAAAAGGTCAGCACATCTGCCCTCACAGACTCGTGTGGCAAGCTGTGCCCTGGGAAATGCACCAGTTCCCGCCAGTCCCTTAGGCAGTTTCTTCCCGGTGATACCACAACGGTCTGAAGGGCTCCTTAGCCCCTGCTGACGTGACTAGGGACAATTCCCACATTTTCAGTTACACCTACTGCACAGCCTCCGTGCTGAAACATCTGACAGCGTTTTCAACTACTTTTGCTCCACTCCCCTCACCCTCCCTTGCCCTCAGTCTCCTGTGAAGCGCTATGTAGAGACCAGAAGGTACCCGCCAAATATCTGCTGCGTCAGATAAAGAGCACTTTAAATACAAACCCTGCACTTGCCTGTCTTATTTGAAGAGTTACATTAAATTGCCAGGAAAAATGCTGTTGTTAAGAATCTACCTGGCTAATAATCTTTATTAACAAAAAAAATATCTACCACATTCCACATCGAACAGGATGCTAATGTTAGGGCAGATGTGAGTTCACAGAAATTGTCAAAGATGACATTTCCTTTTTCCTTTAGTTATATTAGGTAAAAAGCATTTTTTGTATTGTTACTTAATACACAAACAATAATGGGAAGGGATTTTCTGTAAAATGGAAATACTAGGACACACATCAATTCGTTTTGCAAACAACCAAGTAGAGTCATGCTACAGTGCAACTCAGAAGCCTGAACAGAAGCAGAGCAGAACATTCGCCTACGATTCTCCTTCTGTTACTGCAACCTCAGTAACAGCAACGGTAGGTACTTGTGAGACCCCACCTGGAGTGCTGGGTCCAGCTGTGGAGCCTTCAATATCAGAAGGATATTGACCACTTGGAGCGAGTCCAGAGGAGGCCCTGAAGATGCTCAGAGGGCTGGAGCACCTCTGCTATGGGGACAGGCTGAGAGAGTTGGGCTTGTTCAGCCGGGAGAAGAGAAGGCTCCGGGGAGACCTTATAGCCCCTTCCAGTACCTGAAGGGGCTACAAGGAAGCTGGGGGGGACTTTTCACAAGGGCCTGTAGTGACAGGACAAGGGGTAACTGGTTTAAATTGAAAGTGGGGAGGTTTAGATTGGATATCAGGAAGAAATTCTTCCTGGAGAGGGTGGTGAGGCACTGGAACAGGTTGCCCAGAGAAGCTGTGGATGCCCCATCCCTGGAAGTGTTCAAGGCCAGGCTGGATGAGGCTTTGAGCAACCTGGTCTAGTGGAAGGTGTCCCTGCCCATGGCAGGGGGGTTGGAACTAGATGATCTTTAAGGTCCCTTCCAACCAAAACCATTCTGTGATTCTATGATACTGAAGGTAAATACATCTGGGCAAGTCTGGAATTGGGGCGCGCAGCAGAAGAACGAACATCTCACTAGCATAAGACCGCGTATCTAAGACAAACACCAAGGCAATACCCCCTTCTGAGCGCCGAGTATACAGCATCAGTTTCACCCACCTGAGCTGCAGCTTCTTCGTAGCCCGTCGTGCCATTTACCTGGCCTGCAAAGAAGAGGCGCTGAACGAGACGAGACTCGAGAGAAGCTGTCAGCTGACGGGGATCTAAAAAATCGTATTGCACCCCGTAGCCTACAACAAAGAAAAAGACAGATCTTACAGGAGGGATTTTGAGGTTCCCTATTTATCAGCAAAGGCAATCAGTGAGCAGAACGACTTTGGTTACCAACTTTCACTTACAATTTAAAAAAAAGCAAGGAAAAATCCCTGCATCCCAGAATTAATTCTGTTTCTTATTTCCTTTATTTTGCTATGTTCTAAAGAAAATCTGTTTTTTATTAACTGGTAACCAATCACATAAGTTTAAAATTATTCACAACCCCCCTCCCCGCCCCTCACCTGGCTGCAACATCTTTGCTTTTTCCAAGCCTGGGACAGATTTGATCACCTGCTCCTGGAGCTCAGGTGGCAGTGTCATGGACATGCCTTGGGGGTAAATGACATTGGACTCCAAGCCTTCGGGTTCCAGCCACACCTGATGTTCTCGGTTTGGGAAGCGCAGAACCTTTGATTCAAGAGAGGGACAGTACCTGCAACAGTAAATAGCCATGAGCACCACCTGACGTGGAGAAGAGGTGACTTTCCAGAAGCAGAGCAGAACAGACCCCCCGTTTCAGACAGACTGTGAGCTCGTACAATCAAGAGCCCGGCATGATGCCACGTGCTTACCGTGGGCCCCTTGTCGTCTCCCGTATATGGTTGTTCAGGTGGAGGTTATCATGGATGATTTGCTGGGCTTTCAGGGTAGTGTGAGTCAGGTAACATGACAGCTGATCTTCTGGCTGGAAGAGGCCAAAGCTCACTTTAAGTTAATCCAGTCACCAACACTGTACTCTTACTGAACAACTGTGAGGATCTCCAAGGGCTTTTCCATGACAGCTAGCTCTCCTAGAGAGGCAGGCAGTGCTGTCATACCTGCGGTACAGACAGAACATGAGCAACATGCCCAAAAGCAGACCAGGAACAGCAGAACAGGTTGCATCTCACCTCCTTAAAACCTTTCCGACACGTACCAAGGACTTCAAGTCATACTCCTTTTACCCTCACCCCACTTATAATAGGTTACTGCAATTCCTGTATGATCTGGGGCAAATTAACTCCTGATACTTAATTCTGTGCTGTTTAACTACATTACATAAGAACGCCATCCATTTTCCAAGATTTCTTTTGGAAAATTGAGTTTCTTCTGCTTTCAAGTTACTGTTGACATGCCGGCTCTGTGCATTGCTCCATTCTTCCTCTTTCCTAGTCAACGCTATTAATAATTGCTAACTCCAACATTTTCATCTCTTATTCTAAAGCAAAACATCGTAAGACTCCACTCTGCAGGCCTGGAAGTATTCTGTAACCCACACACATAACCAGCACATGAAGAACAACTACCAACAACATCATGTTTCACATAATTCTGACTCTAAAAGTAAAGAAAGTTTGGTTGTGAAGTTGAGAAGTGAGAGGAAAAAGGTACTTGCTTTCAAAAGCAAACTAACAATTTCTCCCTTTGCACTGAGAGTCCTCAGCAACACGCCACCTCCAGTGTGAACACAGCCCAGCTCACTTTCCCAGCCATCAACGCCCTGGCTGATTCTGAGCACGACATTCCCAGAACTGCTGCCCACCTCCCCACCTGGCTCCACGTGCATTTGGCGCGTGCCATCCCACCTTGATCCACACCGCCTCGCTGAGGAAGCTGAACGGCACTGGAGGATTGTCAGCTCTATGTTCCTTCAGTCCACTGAAGTCAATCGTATCTTTGGCAAGTCGGGGCGGTGTCCCAGTCTTCAGCCTGCCCACAGCAAATCCCAGTTTCTCCAGAGTCTGAGCCAGCCCAATGGCTGGCTTGTCCCCTAGCCGCCCAGCCGGGTGCATCTCCAGTCCGATGAGGATCATCCCCCTCAGAAACGTACCGGTGGTCAGGATAACACTCTCTGCGTGTACTGTGCTCCCATCTCCTGAAACAGCAAGTTTTTGGAGATGCACAGTATCTTAGTATCAACAAAACCCTGGTACTTTGGGGTTTCAGTCTAAAACCAGATCGACACTGTTCACTGAGGGTTTTTTCCTATTTACTACATCTTTTACTGCTTAAGAAAATCAGCATTTCAATAATAAAAGTATTAACAGTAACAACTGCAATAAGCATCACGTTGTTATTCCTATATTTTTCTTATTCCTAAGCATGTTACAACCTAACACTGAAAACCCACTCCTGGGAAAAAATCCTACCTATGCCTTTATTTTCAAAAGCCTGTTCACTAGAACAGCAAGGGGTGATAAAGTGTGAATCTGCAGTTAACAGGACACTACCATCCTATAATGCTGCTGGCAGCATGTGCCATTTACCAAATAAAATCTCAAAACACAAGAGTTCAGTGTCACTAGTCCAAAGTAAATTAACTCCTGTAACGTCCCAACAGCCTATCAATCCAGGTATGTTTTTCACTATATTACAGATTATTAACCTAGTTCTCACTCAGCCTAAGCCACTTCTATCACCTAATTCAACCTTCTTGCTGATGAATCAGAAATGTTTACCCCAAATGCTGCTCTTAGAGTAAATGAAGGTGCTCACTGATTTCCCAGCACATACCCAGAATGACTCCCGTGACTTGGCACTTCCCAGGATGGTCTGGTTCGGGTTCTGTCAAGAGAAGATCCTCCACAGATGCCTCACGAACTGTCAACAGTGGTGTGTTAAGGATTTCTTTCTGTCATGAAAGGAGTTACTGCAAAAATCTGGGAAGTTCCGAGACATGTGGGCAGTCCCAAACCCTGCTGATTTCACAAACATCTAACACCCTTTTCCATTTTTACCAGGTCAGTTGGCAGACACTCAGTTACTGTAATACCTTGATCTATCAAATATAACTTTTCACTGACAAATAGAAGTTTAAGCTCAAAAGAAACTATTTAGTCATGAAGCCTGACCTGTATATAAAATGCCAGAGCAGTTTTAAACTATGCTGGGCTCCAACAACTTACGCTGCATTGAAGTACCAAACAGAAAGGTACCTAGGTTTGGCAGGAAGGTATTAACAACCAACACACACACGCACACATCATCCTCTGTAGTTCAGCCTAATGCTTCATATTTGAGTAATTAATTCCCATACTCTGGCCCAGAAACACACAAAACCCCCTGGAAATAAAAACGCGTTTTAAAACCAGTCACTGCTCTTGACTTTCTCTTACAACACCCCCGTTCCCATTTAACAGTGGCTCATGTTTTTACCAGCCAGCA